TCTGATCTCTTGACTGCTGCTTCCGTGAATGTTGATAGTTGATCCAAGAAGAATGAAGTCCTTGACAACTTCAATCTCTTCTCCATTGATAAGAATGTTGTTTATTCATCCATTGGTGAGGATTTTTGTTTTTTTGACATTGAGATGCAATTCATACCTCTTAAGAAAGTAAAAAAAGAATCCAAAGATGGGAAAACTTGCAAAACACACATGTAAGAGAAGACTGGTACTTCCAGTCTGAGGATAAGTGAACAAGTATTGGTCCTACAGTTCTAGTTCATACGTGCTCTACAGTTCTAGTTCGTATGTGCGCTGTAATTCTAGTTCATGTGTGCTCTTACAGCTCTAGTTCATATGCACTCTACAGTTCTAGTTCATACACTCTCTAAGTTCTAGTTCATATGTGCTCTACAGTTCTAGTTTGTATGTGCTCTCCAGTTCTAGTTCATATGTGCTCTACAGTTCTAGTTCATATGCACTCGAGTTGATTCCCAAAAACACATGTTTAAACATGTCTGAAGTTGGAGTGTATGCCTGCAAACAAGTTCTCTTGTAAGTCTTGTTAGAGTGTCTTGGGGAAAAAAAGATCCCATTAAAACATGGCTTCCAAGGTGATCTGTTGAGCCAGTCATATTTATGACAGAAATGTCAGCTCAGAAGATTATGGTAACGTTTTCTTTGAGATTTCTGAGCAGTAATCTTAATCTTTTCTCAAAAAACAACAGGGTGGTCATGGGGCTTATTAGGCAATTTTAAGAAAATTGAAAACTGACTTGCTGAAAACAAGGCCCGGAAAGTTGCTCCGAGGCATTTTTTCTATCACAACAATACACTTGCTCATTCTTCAAGGTGTAGTGAGGGCTGTCCTGTGAGAATTTCCCTGAGAAACCCGACCCCATCCACCCTATAGCCCTGATCTTGCCCCTTCAGAGTTCTTTTTATTCCCCAAACTCAGAGAACATTTCAAAGGAACACAGTCTGAGTCTCTCTAGGATGACAGCTGTCGTATTGATATGTAAATCCTGATCAAAGAAGGGTTAGAGAAGGAGGCGGAAGGGTTAGAGAGATAGAAACACCACCTTGAAACATATGTAGACCTAGTGGAGACTATGTTGAGAAACCATAACTTCACATTTTCATATTTTATGTTTAATATAAATTTCTATAGTTTTGTGGTAGTACTTTTTTTTATAAAGAACTATCAAAATGTCTTAAGATAACAGAGATACAAAGAGCCTTCAAAAAGTTTGTGGAGAATTCTGTATGTTATCTTTTCTTTCAGTTATTTCACAAACTTTGTGAAGCCCACTGTATAAGAGCTAAAATGGAAAAACTCTTAAGAAGAAATCATAGGGTTTAGAACCTTGTTTTCGGACATATATTCTTATGTCCCCAAAAGTGTGAGAAATCAGGTCTCAATATTGCAAAAATTTGTGCATCTTAAAAAAAGAAAAAAAAAAAGTGTGTGCGTTTAAGAACGTGAAAAGTCGACCAAGTGTATTTGGAAATCAGATATCAGCTAACAGCTTAAATACACAAAGAGCTCCTCCATTTCAACTGTGAGAAGACAACTCGCTTCAAAAGTAAGCAAAGGACTGGAGTAGACAGTTCTCCAAAGATGATAATACAAACAGCCAATAAGTACATGAAAGATGCTCAGTAGCTTAGTCATTGAAAACGCAAAAGAAAAAGACAAACTCTGCTGTTGAGTCGATTCTGACTCAGTTCCAGCCCTGTCAGGCCGAGTAGAGTTTCCGAGACTGTAAGTCTGTATGGGAGCAGACAGCCTCACATTTCTCCCTCAGAGCAGCTGGTTATTAGGTGTTACCATGTCAGTTCTTACACATAGAGATTCTGAATAGGATCTTCAAAAGTGTAAATCTTTATGGGAGCAGAAAGCCTCATGTGTCTCCTATGGAGTACCTGGTGGGTTTGACCTGCTGGTCTTGTGGTTGGTAGTCCATTGCTTATCCTACAGTGCTACTAATGCTCCTTTCATTAGGGAAATGCAAATGAGGTAGATACTACCTCACACCCACCAGGACAACTAGGGTTAGAAAGTATCAAGTGTTGGCAAGAATGTGGAGAAGTTGGAAGACTCCTGTTGTTGGTGGAAATGTAAAATGGTACAGCTGCTGTGGAAACCAGTGTGGTGGTTTCTTACATGTTGAAGCCATTACCATAAAAGATTTTGAGAGCAGGGACTAAAACACACGCTTGTACGCCAATGTTCATAGCAACATTGTTACAATAGTCAAAAGATAGAAACAAGCAAGTTCCATCAAAACATGAATGGGTAAATAAAATGACATATGAATACAATGGAGAAAATTATTCAGGCATAAAAAAAAAACAAAATTTTGATACACACTGTGACATGTGTGAACTTTAAAACATGCTAAGTTCAAGAAACCAGGAGACAGCAAATAACTGGTAAGGGTGTGAAGAGATTGGAACAACACTGTTGTTGTTAAGTGCCACTAAGTCAGTTCCGACTCATAGCAACCCTGTAGAGGGTTTCTGAGGAGCAGCTGGAAGGTTTGAACTGCTGACCTTGTGGTTTGCAGCCTAGCACCACACCAGGAATACAATACACTGCTGGTGGACCCCAGCGGGATGGATTGGCAAAGTGGCAGCATCAGTGGGCTCAAGCGTGGCAACAGTTGTGAGCGGTGTTTCGTTCTGTTGCATATAGGGTCGTTATATACAACTTAATGGCACCTAACAACAACAACACTGTGAAAAACATATGGTGCTGCCTCAAAAAGTGTGAAATAATACCATGTGACCCCACAGTCCCTTTACTTGCTGTATACCCTAGAGAGATAAGAACTGAGACTCAGATAGGTAAATGCACACCTGTGTTCATGGCAGCGTTAGTCACACTAGCAAAAAGATGGAGCAACTTTAAATGGCCATCAGTGGAAGAATGAATAAGCAAAATCTGGTGCCCACACAGTGCAGTACTGGGCAGCATTTAAGAGTAACCTGAATCTGTGAAACACCTCATCACGGGATCTGGAAGACATTGTGCCAGTCACAAAAGGACAACTGTTGTATGCAACTACTATGGTAAAAAGTCAAGAAAAAATTACACACTAAAAGAAGCCGCCTTTGATGGTCACCAGGGGTGGGAGAGGAAGAGAAGGTGAGTCACTAGCTAGATAGTAGACTTGTGTTAACTTGGATAAAGGGGAAGGTAATGAATAATAAGAGATTGACAACAACAACAACAAAAGAGGGAAATAGGAAAACCCAGGGAGGAGTACAAGAATTACAGACAACAGAGATAAATACTGTTTTATACATGAACCTGCAGGTGCAGTGCTCTATGGGTAGATGAGGGGCAGCCACACAGGCTGACCCAGTATGGGAGGGAGAGGGAAAGACGGAGCATACATACCCACAGGTAGCAGTTTGACAGAGGGTATTTGTACTTGGGGATTTACCTTTGCTGCGTGTCTACCCATGAATGTGGTGGTGCATACAGAGGGCAAAAGTATAAAAACTTTTTAGATAGAGCTAAACACCCTGAGAGAATGAGTCACTGGGCCTAGGAGCTTAGGACCATAGTCTTGGGGGACACAAAGGTCAATTGGCATAACACAGTCCACAGAGACAATGTTCTACATCTTACTTTGGTGAGTAGGAACCTGGGATCTTAAAAGCTCCTGAGTGGCCATCTAAGGTACAACTGCACTATTGGTCTCCCCTTGTATGGAGAAAGAAGAATGATGAAAACTGAAGATGCTTGGAAACAGTTGGTCCAATTGTGGTCTCCACAATCCTGAGACCAGAAGAACTAGATGGTGCCCAGCTGTCACTTACCAACTGCTCTGAAAGGGATCACATCAGAAGGTCCTGCGTAGAATGGAAGAAAATGTGGGATGAAACTCAAATTTAGCAAAATAAAACCAGGCTGACTTAACAGATGAGACTGCTGGAGCCTGAGACTGGCTTTCAGCTCTGGACCTGAACTCAGCCCTGTGTCTCTGTTTTCAGCTAAACAGTAGATAAGTAAATCTATTGTTCCAATTTGATAGTGACTTGGTATGTAGGCTTCCTGAGGAGTGGCTGGTGGGTTTGAACCTCCGACCTTGTAGTTAACAGTCCAACACTTACCCTACAGTGCCACTCTCGGAGCTCAGATAGGTCTGTGAGAACAGGAACACTAGTTACCACACACCTTAGAATAATCAAAAGTGCAGTGTTTACTCCAGGACAGTATGCCGAGAGCTAAGCAAGGAGGAGGAATGGAAACAGGAAACACAAGGAGGAAGAGGAATAAGTGGTGTTACATTGGGGGGATTATAATCTGAGATGAAACAAAATGTGTACGAATGGTTAGATGTAAAACCTGTGATCTGCTTTGTAAACCTTCCCCAATTCAATACAAAGTTGCAACAAAAAGCCATGCTAGGTGAAATCTGCCAGACACAAAGGACACGGATGATTCCATTTACTGAGGTAGCTAGAATAGACAAGAGAAGCCCTGGTGGTGCAGTGGGTAAGCAGCCAACTGCTAACCAAAAGGCTGCTTCAAACCCACCAACCACTCTGCGGGAGAAAGGTGGCAGTCTGCTTCAAACCCTATTGGGCAGTTCAACTTTGTCCTGTAGGGTCTCTAAGAGTTGGGATCAGCTCCCCGGCAATGTGGTTTTGGGATTTGGTTATGGTTTAGAATAGGCAAATGCATAGAGACAAAAACAGATTAGCAGTTACCCAGGGTTGCAGGGAAGGAAGAATGAGCAGTTAAAAATAATTGTACCTCAATGAACCTGACTTTAAAATAAAATCACTTTTCTCATCTTCAGGGTCTTGCTATGGCGATACACTTCAATTCCTACTTCAGTGGAAGAAACAGGGAAAAAAGAGAAGGGAAAGAGTATCTCCCTGCTGTGTTTGGAGGGCTTGCAGAAGATATTCGATGCCGTGCAGCAGTTCTACCAGCCCAAGATTCAGCAGTTCCTCAGGGCTCTGGGTGGGTACTTGGATAGAAGCTGAATTCCTCGGGATGTCTCCCCCTTTGCGAGATCTCTTCTTGGTTGTGTTTGGTAACCTACCAGAGGACGCTTGAGAAGCCTAACGTTGCGAAGCAGTGACATCTAGTGGATTTGGAATCAGTCCTTAATGGATTACATTTCAATACAAATAATGACTGGAAAACGGAATCTGATATCAAGAAATTGCAGAATTTTATAAATTCAGTTCTTGGTTTTCTAAAATGTTTAGCTATTAAAAGACCAAAAAGTCCATTAAAAAGTGTTTTTTCCTTTCCTAGATGTCACAGATAATGAGGAAGAAGAGGCAGAAGTTAGTGTCACTCAGAGAGCAGCGTTCCAGATCCGGCAGTTCCAGGTGAGACACCTTGGGAAGCGGTTGTCCTTGCCTTGAGGTTCCTTGCAAAGCAACTGTCTACAGGGGCTGCTGGGAGACGGGGCGGACACTGAGCAAGAAGGATGCCAGTCTTTTCTGGGTCATCACCCAAGCAACAGGACATAGTTCTTAGAATAGAAAAGAATGTGCTTCAAAGGATCTATGTGAGGATTTGTGTTAAGACACCTTAACCTGCAGAGCTCATTGCTGCCAAGATCACAGACTTAACACACAGAATTGACACAGGAGAGGGTCAGGAGTTTAGGGGTTTGTCTTTCTTTTGGAGTCCATGGGATAATTGGATTTTGTCTGTCATATTGCTTCAAAGACAACAGTGAAGTCTATCAGTTTTTAATAATAGTTGACAAAATAGAAGTGTCTTCTATCAAAGAGAATTTCTTTATTTAACAAATAATTTTGTAGTTCCTACTACATGCCAGGGACTCTGTTGTGGGTGCCAGAGATTTAGTGGGGGACAAAGGAACCAAATTTCCCACCCTTCTGGAGCTTTTTTACTTTGTAGGGGAGTGAGAGAGTCAAATAATACAATGTGTAGTATTTCTTTGGTGAGAAGAGGAACGTTGTTGGTGTTAGTTAGTGTTGAGTCGGGTCCGACTCATAGCAACCCTGTATAGTTTTTGAGGAGCAGTTGATGGGTTTGAACGGCCGACCTTGAAGTCTGAGAAGAGGAATAAAGAAAAGTACATCCGGGAAGACGTGTAGAGAATGCTGGAGTGCTGGGGGTGGTTTAAACCTGAGATCAGTTGGAGGACTCCAGGGAGCTGTGAGCCACCAAAATCTGGATGCACAGTTCCTTCCGGATGTGTATGTGTTGAAGGAGGTTGGAGGCCTGAGAGTCCATAGTTGTTTTCAAGAGAATTCTCAGGGATTTCTGGTCCAAAAGAGGTTTAAGAAATTACTGCTCAATCCAGATTTGTTTTTAGGTTTTATCCTTTTCTAGCTTTGGCAGCTTTGAGTTCGTTCTGTCCTGATGTAGGAGTCTCTTCCTCCTGATAGGAAACACTCTTGTTTTCTCAGAGGTCCTTGTTGAATTTACTGAGCAGCCAAGAGGAAGACTTCAACAGCAAAGAAGCCATCCTCCTCATCAGTGTTCTCTCCAACTTGTCCCGACTACTGGAGCCTTCCTCCCCTCAGGTACTGGTGCCACTCAGCCAACCCCACATGCCAGCTAGCATCCTTCAGAAAGCAAAGGCAATTGTATCTTAAAAGTATTTGTCTAAATATCTTCTTCTTCTTCTTTTTTTTAATGTTTTATTGTGAATTGTGTGATAGTCTACATGGGAGAACATTAGCTTTACATTCATTCCATCATCTATCATTTCATTGGCATAGTTACCATCCCGTCCATGCATCCTCACCCAACCAAAGGGTGTACCCTGTAAGCCTGCATCCCCCACTCCCCCCAGTCCTTGGCCCCTTTCCATCTCCTGATCCCGAGTCCCCAACCACACCATCTCTTGACGTTGTCTTCTCTGCCTCCATCTCAGGCCTCACCGCTTCTCTGGGTAGGATCCCACTCTCCGCTTTTCTCCATCGATGGTCCTAGGGTCCTCCGCTCCTAGACTGAAAAGTTAATCACTCCCCTCCTTGCTACAAAATGTCCTCCTTTAGATTTCCGACCCTCACAATCAGTCCTGATAATAATTATTCATCATTGCATCACAAGAGACCCATCTGTATTTCATTTCATCAGCCCTTCCTGGACAGGCTGGACACTATTCACTGGAGACTCTATCTTCCTCCACACCTTTGGATCTAGGTTCCCTCTTGAAAGCTTGTAAGCCAGTCACTTCTTACTTTTGTATCCCTCCCCCCATTTTGGGTAGCCAATGTCCAAGTTGCCCATCCCTGTCAACCCTTTGTGTGGTAAGGGTAAATGTCTTCTTTAAGTGTAGTTTATTTAAAATCATATGTTTGATTATCCTCTTGAGTTAGTAAGATCTGTAAGAGGTGTTCTTTCCTACATAGTGTTTCTACCATGTCAGACTTACATGCAGCAATTATGGGCTAAGACTCTCCTGTTTCTGTGTGGTCTCGGGTACGCAGTAAACACTCCAGGAGAAGTCGTAAGTTCATCTCTGCTGCCTTCAACCTTGGTAATCTGTCTTCTTCCCCACATGGTTCCGTCCTTTAGTAAGGGCAAAGTGTAGAATGTTAATGATGAAGGTAGCAGCTAACACATTCAGCAGTTGGCTCTCTCAGCAAGGTTACCTGGTACTAAGATTGGAGAGGGAGGGTAGGGATTCAGTAAAGAATGCCAAAACCCTGCCAGGGTAGATGTGTGTAGGTGTGCACACATTTATGTAGCGTGGGCACCCTCATGAATGTTCACACACTGCACACACGGAAGAATAGAGAAGGGAGACTTTGTGCGGGTTTGTCCCGTTTAATAGTCAATGTCCTCCGGACTTGTGAGGAAGATCCAAAGTGAGCTGGCCTTCAGAAGACTATACGAGAGTGTTGTGGTGCAGAAGTGCTGGGAGATACACTTGATTGTCCTATTGTCTGAGTTCCAACTTGCCCAGAGAAATGCCCTTTGTTACTCATCTCATGCCATCTACAAACAACCCAGCCCCACTTGCTGTCAGCTTCATCCTTTTATACTGCTAATTTTGCTTCAAGGAGCAAAGAATTTGGAACAAAACACAGGAACAGCACAAGAGAATCGGGGCAGGGGAATTATTGGGGAGAAAGAAATGGGTTTTGAAAGGCTAACACTAGAAAAACCTGTCATTTACTTTTAAGCCCTCTGCCCTATAATTTCATATTGTTGTTGTTGTTAAGTGCCGT